CCGTCTAAATACTTTATAAACGTCAACTCCAGGCGGTAATTACCTTCGGGCATTAAGTCAATTATCCTTTCTGCTCTTTCCTCGCTCATCGTCTCAACTGTATCTCCCTCCATAAACGTTGTGAAGGCAAAGTCTGCGTCTAAGCGGTCCAGCACCTGAGTTCGCAGTCGGCGCACAGTCTTGTTACTAATGCTTTTGATGGTGTCCATCTATATCTAAGGAATATTTTATCCTCCGTTTGCGACACAAATATTTTAACCTTCGCAAACATAGCAGCAGTAAGGAAATCTTCGCGCAACATATAACAGAACACGTGTAATTCCCGCGGGGGACGCTAGTGCGTAAACACGGGTAATTCCCGGGCGATTCCGAATGGTGACCGCGAGTCCCCCTTACTGCTGCTGTATTGGTAAAACCAAGCTGACGGCAAGCAACCTTAGCAGTTTTCAGATCATCTAGGCTCCAGCTAGTATCACACACTGTTCTCTATGGTACGAATTTTCCCTAAGCTTGAGAATCGTAGCATTAACCGACGCTTCATCATTACTGTGTAASCTCTATTCTAATAAGGACACCTCCCCTCCTATGAGAAAAGAAAGAACGAACGAACGGAAGCAGCATACTCGAGAGGCCATTGGAAATTTACTAACTTGTACATTTTTAGGTAGAGATGGGCGTGATGGTAAAGATGAGTCACAAGGTCCAAAAGGTATATATACTGTGTTAATTATAAACTTAAAAGAATCGAAACATTTGATGCAAGTGATATTAATATGTAAAAATATTTAGCTAATAAAACTTTTTTCATCGCTAGGTCCACCGGGTTTGAAAGGAGAGACAGGACATCAAGGTGTGAGAGGTCCACCAGGACCCAAGAGTGGTGGAGTACAGTACGTACGATGGGGAAGAACCACCTGCCCTTACAATGCTACTCTTGTTTACAAAGGTAAGATACGATTAATAGCCTGGTTTTCTCCAAACTAATATAACATAGTCATTTTCAACAATTGCATTCCAGGCCGTGTTGGAGGGGAACGATATTCTCACAAAGGCGGTGCTGCCGAATACGTTTGCCTTCCTGAGACTCCCAAATATGGAAGGTACAAAGATGGGCTTCAGTCGCTCGTTGGATACATGTATGGTGCAGAATACGAAGTTTCCTTTGACCTTTTCACCAAAAGCGGCCTTTATAACCATGAAGTACCTTGTGCTGTGTGTTATGTTCAAACACCAAGTGCTAAGTTGATGATCCCTGCAACATACGAGTGTCCCGCGGGATGGAAACGAGAATACCACGGGTATCTGATGACTGAGCATTCCAACCACGTACATCAAACTGAGTTTATTTGCGTAGATCAAGACGCAGAATTTGTTTCTGGGACTAAACCTGATTTAGACGGCACACTGTTGTATCCTGTGGAAGGAAGATGTGGTTCTCTACCATGTCTTCCATATGTTGAAGGACGAGAACTGACATGCGTAGTGTGCACCAAGTAAAAAGAAACACTTAAAAATAATCCTTCCTTATCGATGTGACAGAAAGTCATAATGAAAATATAAGAAAAATAATGCAAAGTTCCCAATGCAGGCAAATATAATAAATGAAACCATAGAAAATTTTGAGACTTAATGCATGGTTCTTTTGCCTTTTTTTTTTTTTTCTTGGACAAAAAGAGTTGAGAATAAGAAATATAAGATAAAAATATAAAATATAATCTCAATTATCTTACCGCCTCCCCCCTACCACAATGTTGGTTCCAGTGGGTACTACTGCTCCCTCTCGCCAGAAGTAACATTTTAGGGGAGAGGGGGTATTTGTAAGGGGACTCTTAAAAATGTGTTTTATATCAATGATATCCTCACAAAGTTCTAAATTCTCAATTGTTTTGTCCAAGATGGCCAGACAAATAATTCTGGTATATCGGTGATTATGTATCTAGCCAAGACCTTGCTTTCCTTTCTTTCTATACAATTACTATTATAATAATTATGATATGTCTAAGATAAGAAGCCACAAACAGGTCAAAACCAAAACAGCACTCCCCGCGCACAGTGATCTGAACCATAAAACGTTTCCGATCATAATGAAATTAATAGTATTTCACGTTTTTTTACCGAGTTTTTTCATTTTTTATAGAAGACTGCAAGTTTATTATTTTTAATTTTAATTTTAATTTTTAATTTTAATTTTAATTTAATTTTCCTAGCGTTTAAATTGCCATTTAGTTATAATTAGTCAGTTCTGTTATTGGTTTATGTATGATCTAATCAAGCTAATACTCGATCTTTCTTGTGGTATGTTAAATAATACAATGCATGAGCGAATCCACTGCAGTATTTTGGCTGGGGGGGGGGGGGGGGGGGGGGGAATCCAATTGCCGCCGATATTAGACAATAACTTCAAATTTTTTTGAAGGCTAACCAAAAAAAGGACTTCTTTGGCTGAGACAATCAAGATGATTTAATAGATCTAATAGATCTTATGAGGGGAATTTTAGTTTTCCTCAGCTTAGGCAATAATGAGATTGGGGTTGACATAGACGTATTGCCGACATCACAGAAAAAAATTACAGCTTTCAAAGACTTAATTTCACTTACCAATTCATGGAAAATGCAGGCAATAAGTTTCACAAGTGTTCAGGCAGATTGCACCAATATTTGTTTTGTTGTTTTGCTGTAGACGATGGAACAGAAAAAAATATGTTAGTACATAAATAGTCTTCTCATCTATGGGCAAACCAAAACGAATTAGTACCGAGAAGGTAATACGAACATAGAATAACAGGGAGAGAACCGAAAACAATAGATTTGGGGGTGGGGTACAAGACAATGTTTTATTAAGTATCAATAGTTGCAATATTTTCAAAATAATCATATTTGAAAAAACGTTGTCATCTGCAAAGACAATAGGCGATAGGTCATTCCGAGACGGAAATGGTTTCGTCGACTACAAACAACATTGAATCAGTCTCAACACCAAGGTCAATCTTCTTAACGTGAATAAGAAGCAGAATCATAAGTCATTCCAGCTAGTCTTGGATCTTGGTATGACCTATCTCCTATCGCTATTTGCCTATCTCCTATTGCCTATAGCTTTTGGCGATGACCACGTTTTTTTGAAATAACTGTATACAAAATAACGTCTTTTGTAGTCCCACTGCATTATTATAACCAAAATACAGGGGGGAAAATATAATAAAAATACAAAAAAATATATACATTAGTTAATATATTTAAATTATTATATTGGTTGATACACAGCATGACACCAGCATCCTTCGTGTGATAATTGCAGTAAGAGCGAACGTTCCCCCATCCATTGTGAGAACAGCTTCCAAGTGAGGCCTCTGAGCCCGAACATCCCATGTCATACAGCCATATCTTACCCGTCCCTCGTCCATACCAGGAAGGTCCAATCGTTTTGGTGAAACCAAGCTGACGACAAGCAACCTTAGCATCATTCATATACCAGCCACCACGTTCACACACAGTTCCCCATTGAACAAATTGTTTCAGAAAGTGATTAAGAACCTAAGTACCTGTTTTATCATCATTTCATGTTTGACTATACGGATAAGCTCAATAGTCCCCTTCACAGTTCCCTGCGCCATCTTATAAGGAAGCCGTGCCTTTGCATCGAAGCGAGACGAACGATGAGCATGCAATGATAGAGAGCTTTTTTAGCACCTTGGACAATTATTCACATGTCTCTATCATTGCAAGCTCACCGTTGGTCTCGCTTCGATGCAAAGGCACGGCTACCTTTCAAGATGGTGCAGGGAACTGTGAAGGGGACTATTGGCAGGGTAGATCAATTTTCACTTTACATTTTGAATTAAGAAAAAACAACTCTCAAAATTAAACGTATTGATGTAATAATCGTATTCGTTGAATCAAACATTAATTTGTATATTTAAATAATTGTTGTATCAGTTCATACACAGCACGACACCAGCATCCCTCGTGTGATAATTGCAGTTAGAAACTACGTTTCCCCACCCCCTGTGAGAACAGCTTCCAAGTGAGGCCTCTGACCATGAACATCCCATGTCATACAGCCATATCTTACGCTTCCCTTGTCCCCAGTACGAAGGTCCTATCGTTTTGGTAAAACCAAGCTGACGACAAGCAACCTTAGCATCATTCATTCTCCAGCCATTCCAGTGACACACTGTTCCCCATTGACCCTTTAACAAATCGCTCATAGATTTTCATTGATCACAGATGACGTTTTAAATGTTCAAACCTCAAGTGGAACGACGAGCGTAACTACGAACAAGAAAAAAGGTTTCAATCGAGCTTCCGCCGTGCGCGAGCCATTCGTTATCAATCAATTTGTCTGTCCTCTTATTGATATAGCTACTAAAGGTTTAAATACAAAAGCTTGATATCAGCGTGTTACAATTTTAATAATCGCTATATTTTATAAAAGACTCAAAATTCTCATTATTCGAACTGTCTTGTTTGTTCAGTTGCCAAAGTAGTCTTCTATGAATATTCTTTCTAATTTAACATGTTTACTTTATGGGGTTTCAAGTACTTGAGTATAGACAAAGCGAATTAGTTAAGTGTGTTTTTTTATACAGAATCCATCAAAGTTTGAATCAAAGCGAGTATTCCTAACGTATTAATTGACAAAACGACACCAACATCCCATTGGTGATTGTTGCAGCCAGAGTTAACATTTCCCCATCCATTGTGAGAACAGCTTCCAAGTGAGGCCTCTGTGCCTGAACATCCCATGCCGTACAGCCATACTTTACCCGTCCCGCGTCCATTGTACGTACGTCCTACAGTTTTGGTAAAACCAAGTTGTCCACATGCAACCTTGGCATCGGGCATATCCCAGCCACCATAACCAGCGTAACACACCRTTCCCCATTGACCATTGCAATCAAAGTCACTAACACATAAAGACATAAGTTCGGATATTATTTAAAAAGCCATACATAAGACCAACCTGTAATCGTCATACGTATTATTCTTGCAGGTATACCAATTGTTAACGATTCCCTATGCACACCATAAAACCATTGTGCGCATTGTCAATTGATGTTCCCCATACAAAATCGGTCTTGCCTGGCCCTTTATTTCGCCCTCATAGTGGTATACAGTTCCTATTCATCATAGTGAAAACCTTGCAAAACTTTGTCATCATCTCACCACATATTACCACAACAACTACAACTTATTCATGCACAAMACGACGCCAACATCCCATTGATGATTGCTGCACCCAGAGTAAACGTTTCCCCATCCAYTGTGAGTGCAGCTTCCAAGTGAGGACTCTGAGCCTGTACATTGCAWGYTATACAGCCATATTTTACCCGTTCCTCGTCCCCAATACCAATATCCTACAGTTTTAGTAAAACCAAGTTGCCTACACGCAACCTTGGCATCATTCATTTCCCAGTACCAATTGTTATAATCACATACTGTCCCCCATTAAAAAAAATTCCAGTAAAATCGAAAACAATAACYGTTATTACASTCSWGCCTGCAATGAGATATTCGTTTGTTTTTAGAATCTTACAAGTGGGTCGATCATACATATCGGGACGATAGAATGCATGGTGTCTCATTTGCATCTCATTTGCAGGCATCCATAATATCTGCTATTGATATTATGACATAATTTTTTACACATTAATTGATACAARMACCAGCATCCCACGTGTGYCTGTTGCAGCTAGAGTCAACATTCCCCCATCCATTGTGGGAACAGCTTCCAAGTGAGGCCTCTGAGCCTGAACATCCYATGTCGTACAGCCATATCTTACCCGTCCCTCGTCCACGCCACGAATGTCCTATAGTTTTGGTAAAACCAAGTTGCCGGCATGCCACTTTTGCATCATTCATGCGCCAGTAACCACCATATTCACACACTGTTCCCCAGTGTAACCAAACACATCAACACAGAAGTCCAGAATATATGAACAAGTAATGCATTCATGTTATCAAGCCATAATCATCACACTGGCCATTCCTTTTCCATCATAAAGCCATCATATTCATATCAGTTCCTATTGTGAATAATGTAAGTTCCCTATGCACAATTTATTGAGTCTTGCCTCGTCTGTATATCAAATCGTTTATGTCATTCATATCTCTCTATACGAAAAGTGTTTATGTTTTTAAATGTTATATCTAATTGTCAATAATCTTTTATAACACTCAACACAAATTACTATGAAGGCAAAATGGTCCATATGATGTGATGTATGAATTTATAGAATCAAAATTAAACTACAACACCAGCAATATAATAGTTTAGGTTCTGCTACCTTATATTCTGCTAACCTATAACTTAATATCATGATAAGTACACGACACCAACATCATATGTATGACCATTGCAGTAAGAGTGAACGCTTCCCCATCCATTGTGAGTGCAGCTTCCGAGGGAGGCCTCTGAGCCTGAACATCCCATGTTGTGAAGCCATATCTTACCCGTTCCTCGTCCCCAAAGCGAAGGTCCTACAGTTTTGGTAAAACCAAGTTGACGGCATGCAACTTTGGCTTCGTTCATACGCCAGTTACCATAACCAGCGTAACACACCGTTCCCCATTGACCATTGCAATCAAAGTCACTAACACATAAAGACATAAGTTCGGATATTATTTAAAAAGCCATACATAAGACCAACCTATAATCATCATACGTATTATTCTTGAAGGTATACCAATTGTTAACGATTCCTATGCACACCATAAAACCATTGTGCGCATTGTTAATTGATGTTCCCCATACAAAATCGGTCTTGCCTGGCCCTTTATTTCGCCCTCGGATATCCATATCCAAATATACAAATATGCAAGTTCTTTATTCATCATTGTCAAACGTTTCTATAACTTTCTAGCCTGCATCTTATTACCACAACAACTATAGCGCATTAATGCACAACCCGGCGACACGAACATCCCATTGGTGTTTGTTGCACCGAGAGAAAACATTTCCCCATCCATTGTGAGTACAGTTTCCAAGTGAGGACTCTGAGCCTGAGAATCAATGCAAATATTGTGCGTGATCCTTTAGATTTTACAACACCAGCAATATAATACCTTAGATACTGCTAACGTACAWCTTAATATCATGATAAGCACAAGACACCAACATCATATGTGTGACCATTGCAGTAAGAGTGAACGCTTCCCCATCCATTGTGAGTACAGTTTCCAAGCGAGGCCTCTGTGCCTGAACATCCCATGCGGTACAGCCATATCTTACCCGTGCCTCGTCCATTCCACGAAGGTCCTATCGTTTTGGTAAAGCCAAGTTGACGGCATACAACTTTGGCTTCGTTCATACGCCAGTAACCATTACCATCGTAACACACCGTTCCCCATTGATCATTGCAATCAAAGTCAGTAACACATAAAGACATAAGTTCCAAGTGAGGACTCAGCCTGAACACCACGTTGTACAGCCATACTTTTCCCTTCCCTTGTCCCCACAACCAATATCCCACAGTTTTGGTAAAACCAAGCTGACGACAAGCAACCTTGGAGTCCTTCATTTTCCAGTTGGTATCACAAACTGTTCCCCATTGACACATTTGGGTAAACCCAACAATAATTAAGATTAGAAATGACATTATCTTTAAACTATTGATTGATGCAGATACCAACATCCCACTTGTGACAATAGCAGCTAGATGAAATACTTCCCCACCCCGCGTTGCCGGTGAGTACAGCTTCCAAGTGAGGTCTTTGAGCTTGAACATCGCATGTCCCACAACCATACTTTATCCGTTCCTCCTCCATCATACGAATAGCCAACAGTTTTGGTAAAACCAAGTTGACGGCAAACAACATTAGCAGTTTTCAGATCATCTAAGCTTGCATAAGTATCACACACAGTTCCCCATTGCCAATTTATAGTTTGCAATTGTTTTTCAATGCACATTTTGACCATCATAATCTTTAATTGCGCAACTGTACCTCTGCAATTTTAGTAAACATGAAGTAAAGATGGGTCACCTGGTATGAAATATACGACGTTGGTTTTTAATCCAAAATCATCGGATTTAGAACACTGTATGCAAGGTGAGAGAGTTACAACAGGATCCAAGAGTGGTTGAGTATAGTACGTACGATACGGAATACGGAAGGTACAAAGATGGTCTTCAGTCGTTCGGTTGACACATGCATGGTGTAGAATACAAAATTCCTTTTACGCCATAAAAGTCAGAGCTGTACGTTACGCTCTAACACGAAGTGGCAAGATGTTGATCCCTAAAACGTATGTGTCCCGCGAGATGAATAAGGGAAAACCTCGGGAATACCACAATTTAAAAAATTCAGTGTCTCTAACATGCTTTTTACAGAGTTTTGCCATTTTTATAGGAGACAACATTATTCAAAACTCCCTCATGAAAATATTAAGATATTTGGTGCTAATGAACTGAACGAAAGAAAGTGTGCAAAGGATTTTGGTACACGTAATTAATATTCATTAACAATATAATATAACGTTTATATTAATACTACATAATGCAAATATTCTATCCCATTTGTGTTTTTGTGCACCAAAAATGCCGTCAATTTTGAATGGTTGGCTGGGTAATATATTTTTTTTACCCTCTAAAAAGCCCATCAGTAGCTTTGGAGCGCAACAGAAATTAAATGTCACTATTGTAGCAGCAAAAACAAAAGAGGTAGGCGAATTTTAAAATGCGGCCAAGATCCCCTAATAAAACGAAATTAAATGTAATAAATAATCAAATTCTTAGTTCTATGCTAGTTTGATAAGTATGGTGTTTGTAGTACTTTGGATTGATTTTTGTAACGCATTTTGGATCACTTTGACATCAAATAAACTAGTTTTTGTAGCTTTTCGGTCGGAGATCCTTAACTGGGTTTGAAACTAATGTGGAATGAATCTGTTATGTCTTATTGACTTTAAGATTACCAATTCAGAAAGTCAGTAGCACAAGCTAGCTAACCAGAGTATATATGTATATATTTCTTTGCAAATTATGGAAGTCATTCCAAACAAAATTCCCGAACACGCTTTGTTTAGGCAGTATATGGGACTTGAAAATTGGAGTAAGACTGCGACTACCAAGGTATTTCTAAAATGGATCAATAAAAAACGAAATTGAATGCATTTAATAAATCGTTTGTGATCTTGAGCCTGAATACTTGAGAATCCCTAAAAGCATCGAATTTTACTCAAACAAGAACTTTCCTGTTTTCCTGAGATCCTGATTACCTACRAAATATTTAACTTAGCGTAAATACTTATACTCTCTTATACCCTTCATTTGACTAACTCAAGACGATCTCAAGTCAAAGTAGATGTCAGAGTCAAGGCATATTCAACCAGTTTGGTATTATCTTTTTAAAAATGTGTAAAATGTAGTAAATTCACTAATAATTCGCTATAAAAACGATATTTGCTTGAAATAAAGAACCTTTTTGATGTCGAAAGTGCTTTAGAGCGCTCTTGATATTATTAAGTTATAACTGAAAGCTTGATCTGGAAAAAGGATAATCTTAATGCTGAAACTACTCAATCTTAAGGCATACTAGAGAAAATGTTTGGAGGTAAACGTTTTCAAATTTTCCCTTTCAATCCCTGATGGTGGGCTGAAACGAATGCTTTAATTTAATGACTTCTACACAGAATGAAAGGAGTGCAACTTAGAAACTGCTAAAAGCATTTTGGTTTTGAACACTTTATCGCATGACATAATGTTTACTCAGTCAGTTTACGAGAAATTTCTCGTTTCAATTTCTTGTTTTTCTTTCAGTGATTTTGTGCAAAAGCATTTATATATTGCTGATTTTCACTACTCTCTATGGTCAATTAGTAAAACTACAGTAAAGTTTCTATCGTTACTCTTTGCTTTCATAAACGTTCAACATGTCTTCTGGAGTAATATGGTGCAAAGGTTTTCTCCTTGTAGCAGTAAGTCTTGTTATGTTTTGTCTTGTACAAACTCTTGATGTGCCAGAACAGGGTGTCAAGAAAAGAGTATCAGATTCAAACAGAGTCCCAACAACGTTGGCAGACATGTACAAACTGTTGGTAGAACTGGATCAAAGGTACGCAAGAAAATATAGTCAAATAAAAGAACAGAATAGATGACTGAAAAACAGTGGATCACAATGTTATTTAGCGAGAATATACTTTATCACTGGAGTTGATACTTGGACTGGGATTTTTTTGCTGAAAAAGGAAAAGTAGGAGAGAGAAAAGGAAGGAAGAAGTCTTAGAAGACAGAGAAAAATTAAAGGAATGGAAGCAGAAAGGATAGAAAGTTATGATGAAGGGAAGGACAGAATGAATGAAGGAATGAACGAAAAAAGGAAAGAAGGAAGGCGGTAGGAAAAGAATGAAGCAAAGGAAATAAGAAGAAAAAAAGCAAAGAATAAAAAAAAATAAAAACTGATAAAAGAGTGATGGATAGAATAAACGAAGAAAGAAAACCATTCTTATGCTTAGAGTGGATCCAATATTCAAATGATCCTGAATATTTTTTTCTTTGAGAAAAATAAATAAATAAATAAATAAACGTTGTCATGATATTGCTTCTTGATGAAATATATATTTACAAGGATAGAAACGATGCTTTTAAAAGTTTTTAAATAAAACGTTTTATTTAAAAACTTTTAAAAGCATTATTTCTATCCTTGTAAATATATATAAATAAATAAGCGAAGAAAAGGGCAAGATATTAGTATAAGTAATATATATTGGGTTTTTTCGCGCATTAATCATATTATCTTGTTTTCTAACAGATTCAAAAGCTTTGAATCAAAGCAATTGGCAGTACTGCGAGGTGAGTAAAGGATAAAGGACTTTTGACTGGTGCCATTTTAAAATCGATGATAGTGCACTCAATCTTTGTGAAAGTTGAAAGCCACTTCAAGGACAACGAATTTCTTGTCTCTAAAAACACTTGCTCGTTAACACTCATTTTAATTTACTTTAATTTACAAGAGAGTACCATGGATACCTGATGACTGCCTATCACGGACATGCACATTCTTCTGATTTTGTTTGTATTGATGACGACGCAGAGGGTGTACCAGGAACCCATGCCGATCTCAATGGTGCCCTGTTGTATCCCGTGGAAGGAAGGTGTGGCTCTCTACCTTGTCAACCATATGTTGAGGGTCGTGAACTGACATGCGCAGTGTGTACCAAATAGAAACCGAAACGAGCCAAGTCCAAGTAGTCTAACTAAATGATTGACTGTAAATTCTAGGTTTAGAATTAGAATCAATAGGTAATAAAKAATCGCTGAGCATTGAATTGCCTTGTCTTTTTAGAATCACAATACGAATATAAATTTTTTTTGTCCCATTTAAACTGGAACACACTGCTCGTTTGAAAAAAATGAGTGCTCAAGTGTATACCCCGTCTTCTTATGCTTCTTGTCTCAAAATTCACCCTGTCATTTGCAGACACTGGCATCCTGTTTAGTTAGTATGATGTAGAAACTAAATTTTAGAAAATATTTTTATATATAAATTTACCTTGACCTATACAAAAGTTTTCGAGTTGAAAAAAAACTTAAGGTATTTTTAAGGTAAGAGACGTAAATTTTCAAAAAGAGAGCTGAAACTTTCCACTGAATACTGCCTAGCATCGTCTGGCAAGTAGGAAAAGGAGATATTTGGATTTCTTTGCCTAAAATTATTCATCGAAGGCAAAACTCCTGCATTCTAATCCGTCATATTGAAATTATTTTTAGAAAAGCCTTCGGAAAATTCATGCGTGAAGTATTTTAAACCTTAGATGTTCTGAGCATCGAATAGAAACACCTTTTACCATAAGGATATAGAAATATAGATAAGTTATAGTGCTTGGGAACGAGGTTATTCCGGGCGAAAGCCCTTGGAATTAAATTCGGAAAAATTAATTTCCGACCTCGCTGGTCATAAATTACTTGAGATGCTCACGCATGCGCGGCTATTTGGACCAATCAGCATCGGGCAGAAAACGGCTGTTGCCAGAGCCTCTTCGGGGGAGGAACGAGACCGAGTAGCTATGGGTACTAGACTGGTTCGTAGTATATTTGGGTTCCACTAGACGATGACTGCGTTCACTCGGACTTAAGTCCTGAGATACAATTTGAGACAAGTACTGTGGAAGATAGCGTTTTCCCCCACGAAACATTTAAGAAAAGTAGATGAGACACGCAAGCAATATGAGCTTAACAATCCTTTAACAATCAGTTAATTCGCCTTCATCGGAGAATATTCTGAGAATTGAGCCTACTTTTGAAATAGACCATTTCACAGTTCCCGCGGCTCAACCTCAGCCTCGTCAGCGTGTAATATATTCTTTAGAAATTGCCTACAACCTGTGAAATTTTTAAAGTGCTACTACGACGAAAATCGCTCAAACTTGGATTCAGCTGAAACTTCCTAAGAATACTCTTTAAAGGTCCAATAATCACTGTATGAAGTGTTTTCTCGATATTCAGGACGAAAGTATGATATTTTTACGATTATTTTTTGGAGTCTATGACGTCATACACTCAACATCGAACATCGCTCCATACATTTCTTTGT